TTATTATTATTATTATTATTATTATTATTATTATTATTATTATTATCATTATCATTGCAAGAGCAATCTTGAGTTGCCGCTATCAGCGGTGTGTGGTTATTGGCCTTGTTTATTATTATTATTATTTGTGGTACTATTAGTTACAGTAGTTTTAATTACATTATTTTCATGTAATAAATGTTTGGAGGTCGATGAACAATCTGAAACTTCATGAAAGGGTCGATGAGCTGAAGAGTTTGGGGACCCCTGATCTATAGGTTAACATGCATTGTGTTAGTCAATGGTTAGATTGGGCTGAACTCATAAGCAGGAGTTCAATATAACACATGGTGATATTTTTTTCCTTGTATGTTTCATCTTGATTCATCTTTAACTTTCAGTTCGGGTTCTGTAGATGCTCCATTTCATTTTAACACCTTATTTTGCAGGAATCTATTTGTGGTATCAATCCTGGACCGTGTGAAGGGTGGCAGCTCCAAGCCAGGCATTGTACTGAGCGCCCAATTCTTTAAGCCAGTCTTATTTTCTAGTAGTGCTTTTAATCTAGAGGTGTGTTTTTCTGCAAGCAATGCAGTGCTGTAGCACCTCAGAACAAACAAATCCTTTTTTGTTACACTTTCTTTGCTGATATTTTATTGATCTTTTTTTAAAGGTGATGCTGAGTCAAGCTGCTGCTTCTTGAAAGGCCTTGATTTTGTCTGTTCTTTCTTTCTTTCTTTCTTTCTTTCTTTCTTTCTTTCTTTCTTTCTTTCTTTCTTTCTTTCTTTCTTTCTTTCTTTCTTTCTTTCTTTCTTTCTTTCTTTCTTTCTTTCTTTCTTTCTTTCTTTCTTTCTTTCCCTTCCTTCCTTCCTTCCTTCCTTCCTTCCCTCTAAAAAGATTATCTTTACAGTACTTTTATGATGTGCCTTTTTACTGAGTATCATTTTAGGTTTTCTATGACTTTTCATTTAATACATTTTGCTTTGTTCTTCTGGATATTGCCTTTATATTCCATTTGCAGGAAGGTGACTCAAAATCTCCCTTCATGCATCTACAGTACTTCCAGCTATTTCCAACTTCTGAAAGAAGGCCCTCAAAGTGTGCATGTGAACTCAAACCGATGAAAGCTACATTAGTATACTGTGCACTTTATGTTCCAAAGACCATTTGCCAGCCTCAAATAAATGCCAGAGCAAGTTTCTTGAGCATCTAGGGTGGTAATGCTAAGGAAAAAAAAGTCCTAATAAAAATCATAAAATGCAAGAAAAACCAGGGAGGAGGAGAAAGAGTTTCTTTGCATTTTACCGGTTTCCAGCTATAGCCCAAGACATGGTGGGCTTTGTTTTGAAATGGGAATTAAGTGCAGGCCTCCTTACCACGAAATCAGCACTGCCTTCAGCTCCTTGGATACGACCGATTGGGCCCTTGGAAAACAGGAGAAAACATAAAGCCATCAAAAACACAGAACATTCTCTCACTTGCAAAAAAGAGAAGACGGTTACCTTTCATCCTGAACTGAAGGAAAAGCTCTCACAACTATGGCTATCCAGACAGAAGGCTTTTAGCACTTCCGATCAAAAGGCACTGTGAAATTGTTGCATCTTTTTCCCTTAATGGACTTTTTTTGTCCAGTAAGGAAAACGATGGAGGGAGTGGCAGTGGAAAACAGGAGGAATACAAAGGAAAGATCCCATCGTTTGAGGCACAGTCATGTAATGATGGAAGCCAAGCACATCAGTTGGTAACCATTTTATGGCTTGGACCAAAGATAAGAATGAGTACCCTTGGCCAACGTATAGAGAGAAAAGTCAGCTCTTAGATACATCATGGATGTTGATACTTTTAGTTCTTAACTGGATGCTACTCTCAAATCTATAAATGAGTCGCCCTCAAACTGCCATGCAAAGCACCCAAATCAGTAGCAACAGAACTTACTGGCTTCCCAGGAGGCCCCGGAGCCCCTTGTGGTCCATCTGATCCCCGTTCCCCCTAAAAAAACACAAGAGGAATCACAAAAACATTATGGCAGCCAAGTCCAAAAGACAATCCACCACTGTGAGCATCCATGGTCCTTAGGAATGGGCATCAGGAATGGACATTAGCATCCACAATCCTTAGGATGGCTCTTCTGTTGCCACCTGAGCTGTGTAGGCCACATGGAGAGGGAGATACCCAAACACGCAGAGGAGCAGCCAGGAGTGCAGACAGTGGAGGGGGAAGGAAACAGGGAAGGAAAAATGCTGGGGAGAGGATCCAATGGAATTATCAGGCAAGGTGGAGAGGGGAAAGAATGAATTCTGGGACCCTGCCTTGATTCTGCTCTATTTTTGCTTCCCTTTCCCCAAAATGGAGCAGAGGTTTTGCAGAATGGGTGATTTGCTTATTTATTTTAAAAAGCAAGATAACTTGTGCAATGTTTATTTTTAGAATACTGTTAGGAAAATGTAAATTATGCAGGATGCAGAAGCAAACTATTCTGAACACAGGATCTAATTTAATCCATTTAGCGTGCATAGCCCTGATCCTAGGGAAGAGAAGATGGGAGAGATTTGGCAGCGTTCATTGTCTGGTTACTAATGTGGGTCTCTTTCTGAACCTTTCATTCTCTCTCTCCTTATTTGTTTAGTTAGTCTCAAATACATGAGGATCCTAAGCTATATGGGGGCAGCAACTATATATATAGGCTTACATATAGTTGCTGCCCCCATATTACATTTTTATATCAGCTTATTTTTTATTTAAAATCTCTCCTGGACAACTTGTACAAATATCCTGATACATATCTCAAGAAGCAAATATCTTGTCATACAAATACCGTAATGTAAAGACCATGGTATCAACAGACAAGCAAGAAACCTACTTCCAGAACTGGAATGGAGTAGATCAGATTTCATTCTGGCTTCCTCTGTTTAATATAATTGGGCATAGGCAACATCCACCATGGAAAAGGGCATTCAGGCTGACAATATCCACCTTGATGCCAACTTTAAACTTCAGGCCCAATGGCTAAAAGACTTGAGAAATTGGGGAGAGAGGGGGTTCCTTGTTTGTTCCCCCCATTCTGGCAAATTTTGCTTTCTGCTTGTAACATTTTGTGCAATGAAAAGTTCCAGAGAAGTCTTTAAATGGTCCTTCTCTCTCTCTCTCTCTCACTCACTTTCTCTCTCTATATATATCCCTCCCTCCCTCCCTCC